GGGTTAACACAAGGGGCCGGGAATAGATCCACTAGTTTTGGGCTCGATAAAGACCTAGTGGCACCCGATGACGGTACCTTCCTTGGCACCGGCAAGTTACCAAGCCCGGTGACATCTTCCTAAGCAGTGGACTCTAATCCGTCCAAGAAGTGGTGGATATCGGTCGCCCCTTGAGGCCCCTCGTAAGAAAGGCTTTCTAACATACCGGCCTCGTGAATCTTGGCGTCTGAAATCTGAGGGGACCCGGTAATGTCAATCACCCCAAGCTCGTCTCTCGGGGCACCTTCCTCTGCTCGAGAAGCACCGCCCCCAGTCTCTCTCTCGACCCCCTAGCTTGGGGTGGAGTGGCCTCAACCCCTTCTGGTTTGGGAGCTTCGGTCAAAATTCCCTCATCGACATCCTCCGGTTCGGAGGGCCCTTGTATCACAGCATCTGCCCGCACACGGGCCACCAGCTTGGATTTCTCTTCTTCTTCTTCTTCTTCTTCTTCTTCTTCTTCTTCTTCTTCTTCTTCTTCTTCTTCGAACTCGTCCCTTAATCGGCGGATTGAATCTGAGGATAGAGCGTCGGTGCTTCCCTTGGGCTTGCATGACCTTTTCTTTGGTTTCTTCTTTTTCGAGTTCGGGAAACTCAGGGCCCCTTTTCTCTTCTTTTCATCACCCTGGCGAAAGGTACATCCTCCTTACCGGATGGAGGCCTCATGGCAACATCTTTGGGGAGACCTAGAAAAAAAAACAGAACGATAAGAATTTTACTGCACGAGGAGGGAATTAAACATTATTATATCAAAAAAGAAAACTTACCATGATTATGGGCCTCATATCAACCCTTCGATAAATCCATCCAAGCACACTCGGAATATGGTCTCTGTGACAAGGCCCTCGACCATCCCTTGAGTTCAGGAACTACGTCCTACACTTGGGCCACAGTTGCAACACCAAAAACATCGATAAGGAAGGAGATAAGAGGTAAATAAAAAAGATTGAACCTTCAAGATGAAGTACTACTTACGTTTCATGTTCCATTTCTCGGGAAATGGCATGTCTTCAGTAGGAACCAGGTCTGAAGTCTTTATTCGAACAAATCAGCCCGTCCAACCTCGGTCCCGAGCCTCATATATACTCGAGAACGGGGCCTTACAGGCCCAGCAAGCAAGCTTGATCAGCCTCCCCCGATATAGTCGAGGACTGTAGAGGCGCATAAGGTGATCAAGGGTAAAGGGACATCCCTCGATTTTTCTTACAAAGAATCGGAGGAGAATCACTATTCTCCAGAAGGAAGGGTGGGTCTGGCCAAGAGTCACGTCGTAACTCTTGCAGAAGGCAATGATGATAGGGTCTAAGGGACCCAACGTGAAGGGGTAAGTGTAAACACTTAGAAAACACTCCACGTGGGTAGTGATCGATTCCTCGGGCGAAGGTACTACCACATGCTTATCGACCCAGTTGCAATCCTTTTTAACCTTGGTGAGGAGATCATCAATAATTGTGCATATGTACCTCGAGACCGGCTCACATCGACCCGATACCGAGGAGGTCTTTTCAACCTTAAAATCGGTAATAGTGGGCACCCTGCAGAAACGAATTCCTCAGGGTGAGGTTCCGCCGCAGCCCCGTCGCCGGCGGGTCGTGATGAAGAGGCGGCCTCCTTTTGAGGCACAGTCTTAGAAGTTTTCGCCATTGAAGAACAGAAGAAAAGGGAATTAGGATGGTATGTGGTTTGCTAAAAGTTTAAGAAATTTGGGTTCAAGAGTTGCAAAGCAAAGGGAATTTTTGAAAAAACAAGAATAGGAGGAGCTTTGAACGTAAAGTTTGAATAAAGGAAAGTTAGGGTACTTACAGCTTGCTGGTGACTGTTCAGAACCCATAGTGGCCGACCAGCAACTAACATGCATTTAATGCCTTGGCAACTAGACCGACGGGATATTTCGTTATCCATTTGTCGCTTACATCATAGTCGGGTGTCTCAGTGACCGTTCGTCGCTTACGTCATGGCCCATCGAGACGGGATTCGGAAGTTCATGTCATTTCTCGTCATATTATCTCCGAGAAACGAGGGGACTATCTGTATACGATCAAAATCGGGATCGCCCCTTGTGTGACTAATCGAGACTAGAATATGACAGGTTAAGGTTCGACCTCGTATTATATCGAACCATGGTGCAAAATTAGATTGTCGAGCTCATGACCCAGAGACCGATCAAGATCGAGATCGAGCAAGATCGATACCGAGCAAGATCGAGGGAAACTTACCGAGCCAAATAACGGAAAGCCAAAATATCTGCAATCGATCGAGGATCACGGCAGAAATCCCGGCACGTATCAAGATGAGGCCGATTAATTAGCTTCTTATGAGATTTCTTACCTCATATAGAACTGTATCAAGAGTAGGACTCCTCTACTATATAAAGGAGGTCTGATCATTTGTAAAACACATCATTTTTTATGCAACATAAAGCAATATACTGTCATTTTCTAGCTTTTACTATCTTGTTACTCTGTTCATACATCAGTTGAAATCTTTGGTTCAAGGGTGATTGAACTCGAGGGCCAAGGCTACTCGATTCGTGTGGTTTGCATTTATTCTTTTATCGTCAATTTCAATATTAATCTATTCTCCTAATTTGTACCAAGTTATATCACGTATCCTTAAAACCACATGTAAATTCAATTGTTATCCAATTTTAGGGTAAACACTTTATATTTAATCCATTATATATATGTCAATAGTAATAAGTTCAATACCATACCCATTATATATTTCTCATATATTCAATATTAATTACTAATTTACTGATAGAATACTTTCTATTAGGACATGATTTTACTACTGGTACTTCTTATCGGTCGTATTAATGTCTCTGTTGTATTTTTTTTTTATTATTTCATTACTTGAATACTTTATTTGGATGATTGTGGCAAGAATGAGGAACCTTTCAGGTAATTTAATATGAGTACTTCATTTGCATATTCATTTTTGTAAAAAGTAGAAACATCTCAATTTATACGCTCTAAATCGAAAATCCATAATATACAAACCAACTAATCGGAAATCGAACTTAAAAAATCTGATCCAATCTGAACTTATTTGGATTGAATTTGGATTGTCATTTCTTCAATCCGAAAACTGAAAATCCAAATCGAAATTCTCATATCCAATCCGAATTGTCCGAATGCCCACCCCTAGTTGGAAAAGTTTGTTTTGGATCCTTTGTATCCTAGTCATAATTGAAATATATAATTGAAATATGTCCTATCCATAATTGTTAGTGTTTACCCTTAAAATAAACAACAATTAAATTTATACGCGGTCTTAAGGATATGTGGATTGATTCAACACAAGTAAACAAGAATGTTTAGATAAATGAATTAAGGATAAAATAAATAACCAAATCAGTTGTGACGTTAAGTCCAGGCTCGTATTTAAGCTTAACAATACTTCTGCCCTCGATTGGACCCCTGATTCGAAGCGAAATGTGTATGAAGAACAGTGATCAAAATAAGAATTCTTCAATAGCTAGAAAGCAAAGAAATAAGTTTGTATTGCCTTGATATGCGTATTACAATGTGTTTCTTGAATACAAATTACCCCCTTTATATAGTAGGAGAGTTTCACCCATAGTACAATTCAAAGAAAGGTAAAAATCTTCTTTTTTTGTTAATCACTGATCTGCTGCCGATAAGGGTCGAGATCCGCGCCGTGATATCCGATTGGGTGCGGATATCACGATCCTTCGTTAGTCGTGTGCAACCGTTTTGTAATGCTTTCCAAGGTCATGGGGCTCATACTGAGTTCAGGGGATGTTGTCTTATCGGGACCGGTGGCGAGCACTCCGTTCGGGCCTTAGTACGAGAAGTTCCCAGCTTTGATTCCGATTCCAAATAGTTATGTCCTTACATTGTTTGCCCCACTGGAAAATCGGGGTGCTCATTAACCCCGGTTTTACCTGTATACAATTAGAACATTTGATTGGTCTTTATTACTATATATAAGTCTGATGACGAGCTAGCGGAGGTAATTTTGTCATTAAAATAATATTACAAGAGAGTCGTTGAGATAAAAAGAGATGAGAAAAAATTAGCTAAGAAGGTGATTACTTCGAAAAAGAAAGAAGTTATAACGACCTCAAAAGTACGTCAATGACAAAATTGAATATAAGAATTACAATTGTGCTTTTGCTGGGCCAAAATAGAAGAATTTGTTGTGTCTTGCAAATACAATTAAGTGGATAAAAAGACCGAGGATAAATAAATGGGGCGAATCACCGAGGGACAAAGAAGAAAGCAGAAAAAGATCCAAGTGAAATGAAGAGATGAGAGAGTAAACTAGAGTATAGTAGGAGTCACAAACGGACAGGTTGAGTCGGATATGTTCGGTTGAAAATGGGTAATGAAAAAACGGATAAATTATTTGACCTAATACAGATAAAAAATGGGTTAACCGGCGAATAATATGGGTAACCATATTATCTATGACTTCTTTACATATGACCACCTTTGAGAGAATTCTTAGTTTCTTTAACTTGAGTAAACCCCAATTTGAGGCTTTACAAATGTAATAGTTAGACCCATTGGTTATCCATTGGTTAACCATTTTCTAAATGAATAATATAGTTCTTATCCATATTTGACCCGTTTTTAAAAAGTTCATTATCCAACCAATTTTTTAGTGGATAATATAGGTGGTTAACTAGACAACGGCAGGACGTATAATTGCTTCACCTTTCTTTCTTGGGGTATTATGGTTTAAGAGTGAGAATTAGTTTCGATTTTTGTTTTGTTGACCTTCTCTAGCAAAAAATTTGCCGACTGCCTTAATTTCTTTTGAGTGAATTCATAACAATCTTATAGGGCCAATCATAACAATCCAAGTCCTCTTTTCCAGCATCCTTAAAAAGCAGATCCCCGCCATTTTTGGTTCCTCCCCAAAAGTCTATATAACCTTTTCCATAAGACTAGGAAAAAGCAGAAAACAGAACCTTCTGAATTAAGACCAAAAAAATGGGTATCGATTTACTAGCCAAGCTAGCCAAACACAGCATAGTTCATCACTCAAAGTTTCGATTCTCTTCCAATCCAATTTCTGGTTCTCAATTTGCTTCTCACTATCAACAATGCAGAGCTTACTCTGCTCGATCAATGAACACTGCTGCAACTAAAGTACCTAAAACTCATTTTCTTTCATTTCCAACTTTTCTTCGTAAATCAGTTTCATCTTCTGAATGTGCAAATACCAAGATGGGATTCTTGGCATGGTATATGGGAGCTCTTGAGTCTCGTCCAATCATCACCAAATCTATTTCTTCTGCTATTATATATGCTGCTGCCGATGTTACTTCTCAGGTAATCTTGTTTTCCTCAATTCTGTGATTTTTTTAAAAATTTGTGTTTGGCATGTAACAGGTCCAAATAGAGCGGAATTAATATAGCTAGATGAATAGATGATCATACCCTGTCAGAGATGTATTCGATATTAAAATTTGATAGGTTGAATATTTATGTTCTCACTAGTCACCATTAAAGCGTGCCTTTGCACTTTCACAATTGTGGGTTTAGAACTTAATATTTGTTGAAGGTTTAGTAATTTTCACATAGTATATATTATGCGTACTGTCAAAAATAATAGGTTCAGTTAATATTTGAAACTATACAGTACATCCACCTTTATACCCGATCCTAACAAGTTCAAAATTGTGTCATAGTCGTAGTTGTTATGTACATGATTTTACTGCTTTGATTTGATCGGAGATTTTAAAATTTGAGTAAAGTTTGAATGTTTTTTGGTGGTATAATGATGGGATTTATATTGGTCAGGTGATTACGATGTGGCCTTCGGATTCTCTAGATATAGTAAGGACTCTACGTATGGCTAGTTTTGGATTGATCATCTTAGGAACAGCACAACATCTCTGGTTTAACTATATGGGAAGGGTATTACCAAAGAGAGATGTAGTTTCGACCTTGAAGAAATTGTTGATAGGACAGTTTGCTTATGGGCCTCTCATTAATTCTGCTTTCTTCTCTTTCAATGCCGCTCTACAAGGTACACATCTCTTTCGTTTGGTTTCTGTATAATTCTTACTCTTCTAATAGTTATCCAATTATGTTATTCTCTTGATTAGTGTATGATACTGTGAACCACTGCATATGTAGTGCAACGATAGAACTCAATACCATAAAAGATGATGGTTGTCCTTTCTTTTTGACTTGCGATCTCATTTCTTTCAACATGTTCTAATGTTGGTAATGTTCAGGTGAGAATGGAGAAGAAATCGCTGCAAGGTTGAAGCGCGACCTGCTGCCAACAATGATTAAGGGACTTATGTACTGGCCAATGTGTGATTTCTTGACATATAAAGTAATCCCTGTCCATTTGCAGGTATATATTCACATTTCATAATCATAGTCTTTGCTTCATTACAAAAATGCTCACTTCAACTCCTTGTATATCAGTCTAATAATTTGGTAATGTTCTTTGGCAGCCGTTGATTAATAGTTCATTTTCCTATGCGTGGACTATATATTTGACGTACGTTGCAAGTTTGAAGAAAGCTGCTTCTGATTAATTTGCACCCCTCACGCTGGATGTTTCAATATATTTTCAAGGATAGAATCAAAAGAAAATTAAATCAATCAGCTGAGAGATTAACAATGCCGGACATTTTACAAGCTACCTAGCCATTTTTTACCATTTAGATTAGGCCAAAAGATGTCGCTCTTCCCAATATCGGACATCTCCGTGATCAAGATGTCACAATTCAAGCTAGTAGTGCATGATATTGAAATTTCAGGCGTTTACTGCTAAGTTCAGCTTTTCTTACTCCTTGATAATTATGTGAAGAAAAAGTTATATAGAAAATATATTTGAGAAGCAAGTTGATTTTATTTATTAATAATTCGCTTATCGATGAACCAACGGAATTTTCCTGTGGGGTAGTTTGATTGTGGTATTAGATAAATTAATCACAATATAAATTTCTATGTAAGATAATGTAATGTTTGGTTGATCGCATAAGAAAAGAACATTTGTCGCATAAGAAAAGAAGGCGGATTGTCATTGAGATACAACTGATTGATTGAATGACAATAATATTACTGTACAAGATTATTGGTAGAAATTTTCTTCGGAGTCGTTTGGTGCGGTCGGGAATTAAAATGCAAAAAAGTTTATATGGTGTGATTAATAATGAAGTAATTCTTTCACGGTGATTAATAATAGTGGATTGTCATACATGAATTTGTTACTTTAAAAGAGAAATTTTATCTTTCAATAGTTAATGTCAGCATGCTAATACACGAAATCTAATTAAAAACAACCCGTAGACTGTGTCCCATGTAGCAATAAAAAATCTAGAACGCCGACATTTTTTATGTCACAAGACGGTCATTGGTTGTGAACCGGGTCGGACCTGCCACGTGTAAAATGTTGTTTTTCTACTTATAACCACCAAATGTTATTTACTTATTTCTGCAACAAACATCCCGTTTCCATCTCCTTCTCTTCTTGAGAAATTGATAGAGAGGAGAGAGAGTTCGGTTTGTATTTTGCTTTTTTTCGGATCTCTGTTTCTCCTTTTACATTCCCACATAAACAAATTCTGTAAAAGGAAAAGGAAAATTTTGCTTCATTTGTTTCGTGAGCTAAACGTTTGGAACTTTGTTTTTGTTCGAATAATCATCAGAATAAATGGTGATGGAGTTGTTGGACAAAATGATGGTTCCTATGCGCAAAGTTTGGACCAAAGTTTCTAGACGTCTTCGCATTCGTAAAAATGGTCAGTTCTCATTCCTCTCCTATTATCCTCCATGCACCAACTTTATAATTTCTGTCATTAGGGACGGATCCCGCCTTCCCGAATTCATCTGAATTTAAAACTTTCGACGTAAAGTATAAATTTATAGTAGATATGAACGCATAACAACATTAAAGATAGAGCGAATTTAATGCTAATAATATAAAGGTTGAACCCATATAGTTTAAATTTTGGAGACGCATCTATTGTCATGCTTATGTGTCTCTTTAACAGAACGAAACAAAATGGATATAACAGATTGATATAGTATATCCAAACTAGTTTAAGATCGAGTCGTAATTAATTAAATATCTCAGGGAAATGAAAAACCGAAGTCTAGCCCAAGTTATGCAATTTCAATTTATTTCTTCGGCACTTTGATGTTTTCAGTTGATTCTTTTCTCTTGCTTTTATCTAAGGCCTCTGCTTTTTGGAGTCGAAAATAATAATTTATAGTTTTGCTTTTTAATGGGAAAATAAAGTCGATGTCTTTTAGGGTAAATAAAATTGATTTTGATTGCTTTTGGAAACAGAAAGAGGATTATATTCTTCACTAATCAATGTAACTGCGCATTTCTTTCTTTAGTTTCGCTTTTTAACCGGGGTAATATTTCAATTTTGGAACCCTTCAGATTGACTCATTTCTCCTCATTGTTTTATTTTTTTTCAATCATTTTCTTTTTGAGAATCAATCCAGCAACAAGTTTGATTGCCCCAAATATAAATTAAATGAAAATAAGGTCAAAGTATAAACAATGATGTATGGTTTGTGATTGGTTATATATGCTGACTATGCACTCTGTCATGTCATTAAGAAATAAATATATGGTGGTTATTTCTTAAGACCCCACAAGCTAGTAGATAATTAAGAATATCAGTGTTAATGTTGCTCGTGGGGTATTTTCTTTTGATTTGTTGGAGAAGGAATTAGGAAACAACACGTGGCCGTGTTATACTTTGTTATTGTTGATTAAATAAACTCATATGCGAGAAGAATCTAAAAAACACAATCTTTCACTCAAGAGATTAAAAATTCCTTTTTCACTATATATTAGTATATAAAAAATAAACTCGTAATGTGAATGTACTGATGACCATAATAATTATGACCCTTCAATATTTTATATATAGGGCTTGTAAAGCTACGGCGAGATGTGAGGAAATGTGAATATGAAGATGTGCATATTTTGTGGGAGATGCTGAAAAAGAATGAAACAGGGGATGCTACTACATCTGCAGCTGCACGCAAAAAAGTTCGATTTTGGGATATTTTTGATTGGGCAAAACGTGCTCCGTTCATTTGCCGTAGCATGTGACCATATGTTATAATTGTAATTTCTAGCTTTTATATGTCATATCCCATGTATTTTTAGCACGTCAATATGGATTAATTAGTGATCATGTGGATTATAAGACCTGGTCTTAGTGGTAGTTTAAAAGCTGCACGAATATGATCTTGGAGTGTATATATATATATATATATGTATAATCTCTTTTGGAGATGGATTTGATGTTTTACGTAGATATTTCTGGTATCTTATTTGTAGCATGTAATACGAACGACACCAAAATCTTGAATCTAACACTTTAAAAGTTGCTTGGTTACTTCGTCTAATTTAAAGTATAAATAGGACTTCAAGTATGGAATGATGGAAATGAGATAATCACCAAATTTCTTTGTCTTCTTGTTCTCTTCAATTCTCTGAATGTGAGGACTAATAGCCTGTTTGGCCAAAAGTTTTTTTTTTTTTTTTTTTTTTTTTTTCCAAAAGCACTTTTGGCCTAAATTGAGGTGTTTGGCCAAGCTTTTGGAAGGAAAAAAAGTGCTTTTGAGGAGAAGCGGAAGCAGTTTTGGAGAAGCAGAAAAAAGTAGCTTCTCTCCAAAAGCACTTTTTTGAGAAAAATACACTTAGAAGCAGTTTTTTAAAGCTTAGCCAAACACTAATTGCTGCTCAGAAGTGCTTTCCAAACTAATAGCCTGTTTGGCCAAGCTTCTCAAGAGGCCAAAAGTGCTTTTTTTCGCAAAAGCACCTTTTTTTTCCCCAACTTGAGGTGTTTGGCCAAGCTTTTTTGAGGAAAAAAAGTGCTTTTGGGAAGAAGCAGAAGTAGTTTCTGAGAAGCAGAAAAAAGTAGCTTCTTCCCAAAAGCAGAAGCAGAAGCAGTTTTGACTTTTCTTCTTGCCAAAAATGCCCTTAAAAAAATATAGTATATACCAAATAACTGTTAAACCTAATACTTAGGATATTAATGTATAAATATTTCTTCTTATTTTTAGGATAGCTTTATAATATATACTGACTTTAACGTTGAATGCTTTTATATTTGTTGAATGATTTTTAATATATTTAACTTATATTAAAAGAATTAAGTATTTTTTAATTTTATTTTCATATTTTACTTAAATAAAATGAAAAGATTTAATTATTGCATGTAATAACATATTTTTGAGATTATTTATTTATTTATAATATTAACTATAAAATAAATCTATTCATGTCCTTATTCGTAATTTGATACCTTAAAAGCACTTTCTGAAAAGCTTGGCCAAACACAAATTATTGCTCAAAAGTGTTTTTCAGAGTAATTAGCCAAACACAAACTGCTTCTCTCCAAAAGTACTTTTTTTAAAAGCACTTTTAAAAAAAGCACTTCTCAAAATAAGCTGATTTCTCCAGCTTGGCCAAACAGGCTATAGTTAGCCAAACACAAACTGCTTCTCACCAAAAGTACTTTTGAGAAAAGCACTTTTGAAAAAAAATACTTCTCAAAATAAGCTGATTTTTGCAGCTTGGTCAAACAGGCTATAACATTGGTCAGGAACTTGCTGTCGGACTTCTAGCATTCTGAATTTCTGATATTCCAGTTTAAAATGGTCTTGCATTGGGCTGTATCTTGCAAGCTTAGCATAAAATGGGCCAACACGACCTGATGTGTCTCATAGAGCCCAACTGAACCTGGACTATAGATTTTAGCCCAAATAAGTACTAAGTCAATTTGGGGCCTTTTGTTTCGAGTCTTTAACGTTCCAACTTAAATCTCATACTCCATCCGTTTCAATTGCACAGAATTTTAAAAAAAAAAAAAACTTTTAAAATTTATAGTCTAAAATAATCTATTAATATTTATATGCCTATAAATTATCTCGTTAAGGATAAAATAGTAAGTTTAAAGTTACCTTCTTTTTAAATTTAGAAAAGGATCATTCTTTTTAAAGCTGAGATAATAGGGATTTTTACATTCCTATGCCACATATGAAACCTTATTACCCTCAATATTTAAGGTTTGATTTAATTACAAACCCGTATACCAAATTACCAGTCCTATACCATACTTAATTAAGGGTCTAATTAATGGGCAATTTTTACTCCTTAATTAAAGTATCCATATATCTCACGTTTCTCGATCCCCATAATTCCTAAGATATTCTCAACCGCAAGATATTCAAGCATGTTAATTATTTAGTTCCATATCTTCCAATAGCCGATGTTCACTGAGCCTTGTTAAGAAGTTCGAAGCGAAGAAGGCCTTTAACCCAAAGAGATCTTTACAGTCGACATCCAAGCATTTGATTTAAAGTTCGAAGCAAGATATTCTCTTCTTTCTGTTTCTCCATCTTTTCTTGTTTTTGTTTCTGCACGTCTTAGTTATTAGTAGCTGTATTATGGATCTTGAAACCCTATTTTTTTTGGGGATTTTTACATTCCTATGCCACATAGGAAACCTTTTGTAGTCAACATTTTTTTTCAATATAAATTATAGTTTAATATAGTAATTTTGTAGATACTCTTAAAAACAATACAGCTCTATACAATACTTAAACTGATTTGTAGTTTATTTGTAGTTTATTTGAAGAAATTTTGTAGGTCAATAGAAAATTTGGTAGTCAACATTTTTTTTCAACATAGATCGTAGTTTAATTGTAGTATAAATGTAGTAATTTTATAGATACCCTTAAAAACAATACAGCTTTATACAATACTAAAACTGATTTGTAGTTTATTTATAGAAATTTTGCAGATGAATATAAAATTTTGTAGTCAATATTTTTTTTCAACATAGATCGTAGTTTAATTGTAGTATAAATGTTTTAATTTTATAGATACCCTTAAAAACAATACTGCTTTATACATACTTAAACTGATTTGTAGTTTATTTGTAGATAAATGTAGGAATTTTGTAGATATTAACATAAAATCAGACTTCCTCTTCTCCATTCCTTCTTCTTCTCCAAAAATACAGAGATGAGACCCATTTTTTATAATCAGATTTTTCCCATTCAATTGTAGCATGATTGGGATTTTGGACACGATTGAGTGTTGTTGCTGAGGTATTGTTCTATATTTTATTTGTTTTTTTGATTTGTGTATTGAGAAAAAAAAAAGATGAAGAACAGATTTGATTTCAGTTTGTTGAAGCTTTTAGTCTTTTTTTTTTTTGAATTACGAAAAAAATTCGGGAGAGATCAGATAAAGGATTTGCGTTCAAATTTGAACTGAAGATCACTAAATCAATTAGGATATTCTTTTCCTGATTTTTAGCGCGCCATATTAGGAAGATTCAGCTACTATTAATTACTAATTAATGAATGGTATAAAAATTGCAGAAAAACAGTGCACATGGCGGGTAATTTAGATACTATGCACATATTTGGTAATAAAGTTTCATATATGGTATAGATAGGAAAAAATCCCGAGATTAATACAATAGGCCCAATCTCAACTTCTACCATTAGAGAAATCACAGTAGCCAATGCTGCTTGTTTTTTCATAAGAAGCTTTAAGAAGTAACCTACTGGTCCTCAATTTAAAAGGCTGAACAAATGTTGATATGCCTATGTAGGTGCAGGAGGATGGGGTGGGGGCATTTGTTCAATCTGGTCAGTCATAATAAAAGCAATTGATGTCTACTGTTCATTTCCCGTTTCCTCTTGGCGGTGCTGCAATTTCAAAATTGTTGCCTCTTATCTCCAAAAGATTTCATTCTATCAGGGGATACCCGTGACAGAAGGTCCAGGTATGAATGTCAATATGATCCATGGCTTTATTAAAAAAGTATACCTCATCTTCATGTTTGATTGCCAAGGTTTGACTAAAACTTATAACCTTAGTAATTTAAGGTTTAAATTAGACAATTCACAAACTTCAATATGACATCAAGTAAGTAAAGGTCATGATGCATTAATATCTTGCCTTTACTCTCCAATGAAATGTTTTCATGTAGTTGGTTAAAAAAGAAAAGGATAAACCTACCCCTCTATCCCGATATATGTGAAGGATCCAAAGTATGAGGATCAAATTAAATCACCTAATTTCTTAAATTTAAAATTGTAAAGGGCATGATATACAAATAACACTTTCTCAATTTGTACAAGACTTTTTGATAAAATCCAAAGTACTAGTTTACTTGAGTAACATGTTCACACGAATGAGTATTGCATTATACTTCACACAAATAAACAAAAGTCTCTGATAGGTTAAATTTTAGACTTAATGCAGTAGGGGTGGTAATTTGAGCCCAAACTCATTCAATCCGCCCAGAGATTAACGAGTTGAGCTATAAGCATTTTAGCTCATGGGTCTATTTGGGTTGAGTCCAAGTTAATCCATTCTTTTTTATAGCCAATTCTAACTCATGAAGTAGCCCAAATACATCCCATGAAGCTCACCTAAAATAAAGGGATCTCAACCCAACTTATTTAGAAATTTACTTAGTTGTCCAAATTTTACTTTCTTTTTTTTTTTTGTATTTTAAATTTTCTGTTTTTCGTTTTTCACCACCCACCCTACCCCACCCCCACCCAAACCCCCCCCCCCAAAACCCCTCAATTTTTTTAATTTATATTTTCAATTTTTTGTTTTCTGTTTTTTTATTTTTCTGCACCATCCACCCACCCCAAACCCCCCCCCCCACCCGCAAAATATT